TTTTTTTTTTTTTTTATGTTAAAAGCATAGATCCTAGGGTAGTTCCCTAGGTACCATAATCATATTTCTTTAATAATTATTCATTATTTTCATAAGAAAAGTATAAATTTTATATTAAAGTATAGAAAACCAACATATTCATAAGAAGAAAAGGAAGAAGGAAAACAAAATTCAAAAAATATAGGGGCTGAACCCTTATTTCTGTTATAGGAAAAGAAGAAAATAAAAAATATTGGTAGTAGTAGTAGTAGAAGAAGAATATATGCAAAAGGAAAATGTGCTGATTAGAAAAAAAATTCAGTTCTTCCTTACTGGTTTAGGTTTTCAAGTCTTTGAGGGTTCAATACATCATTTAGCAATGTTTGTGTTGATTAAACCCTAATAAATAAGAAAATAATAAAAAGAAATTAGTATATAAGCACACAAAATGGTCATTTTAGTTTAATAATTTTTATTTTATAATTATAATCTTAAAAGAATGAATAAAAAAGTATTTTATAATAGGAAGTAGACAACTGATTGGCAATTAGGCGATGCGAGCCTCAAAGGGTGCCTTGTTGCCTTGACAACTATGACCCAAAAACAAAATCATTTTCATATTCAAGTGGTGGATTAATGGTTTAACCTTTTAGACTAAATGGGTAAAATAAAAATTTAAAAAAAGATAATAGCGTAGATTTATTGAAAAATATAGGAATTTTTAATAAAATAAATTATATCTATCATGTCAAAAAAATAAGTGTGATAAATAAAGTTATTTTTTAATGATGGAAAAAGAATAGAAAATTAAACTAACTCAAAAAGAAAACTAATTTTTAAGTAGTGGTCAATGGTCTATAGGGGTCAATGGTCTAGTCCTTCAGTTTGGTGGTCTCAAAAGTCTGACCTTTTCTATTTTTTGGATTGGGCTTGAACCTAGCCTAACTATGTACAAATAGAAACATATTTGCATATATACATATGTAGTATTGGATGATTTAGCATCATGAGCCTGGCCCCCAACCGGAGCCCAACCCAAATGCATCAAATTCCAATGCGATTAGGTGGTTCGAATTCAATCCTATTTTTTATCATATCATATTTGACTTCAAATCGGATCATGATCCAATCCATTTTGCACCTTGATCTACAACTTGCACCCATAAAGATTCAAATGTTTGGATACCAATGATGTCATAATAATGTAATAAAAACTCTAAAAATTGATAAAAATAAAAAATACAAAAAAAAAATTGTGTAGGCATCTAATATCATACATTTATCATACTATATATAGATAAACTTCATAAATAAGCATCATTTTTTTTTAATAATGAAAATGAAAATACATAATTTAAACCGACAAGTATGCTATGCTTTGATTACTTATTATCTTTTTATTATGGTTTTAGATAAACATAATGAAATTATCATTTTTAGCTATTATTAAAATTACCACATGCAACACACGTACACATTTATTAGAAAAACCCAAAATACATTGATAGGTATGGTTAGATTGTAGGTGTAAGTAAATATGCACGTCGGTACGACAACCCAACGCAGGTATATCTCATAAGAACACATTTAAGTTACTATTGTCTCTCAATAGTTTTATGGGATAAAATAAAAATAACAGAAAAGTATGAACAAGCCCAATGCAGATTTCTGAATTCCACTTCAGATCTATTAACATTCAAAATGTCAAAAACCCCCACTCTATACACCAATTCCCACCTGTGAATTGGCATCAATTCCGAGGTGGCATCTACACTTTGGGCCTAAAAATTCTGACCCTCGGCTGAACCGTCTTTCTCTCTAAAAATAACTCTCTTCATTAATGATTAATCAATGAAATGCAGAATAGTGATGGCACGCCGTTCCCTAGAACCACACCAATCAAGGGCAACTATAAGATCATTTTGTAAATAATGAATATTTGATGCTGCTCAATCCGAGGAGGTGCACGGACCAAACTTGCAGTCAGATAGTCCTTGCCAACAGGGCAGAGCTGAGGTGGAAGGACGGAGCTGCGCTTCAAGACTTGTGATCAAGAAAGAATGTTAGAGGCTTGAGGAGTTATCCCTAGGTAGGCACTTCGACGTTCAAGTCAGTAGGAGGTGGTGAATGGTCAGGCCGAGCAATAAGGGTGTTGGTTCGAGCAGAGTAACAGTATGGGTGTCAGAAGTTGGAATCCCTTACCTTGGGTGGGAGATACCTCTTTATAGCCGAAGGTCTGTGTCCGGGTCAGATTGGGCTTCTGGGGTTTCCGGGATGAGGATGACCGCCAAGGTCTTTGGGATAGAGTTCTATTCCCCAACGGAGTTGTCCTCCTATCTCCTCCTATTCGTAGTCATGCTTACCCGCATGACGTGGCTGAGAGGATAAGATGGGGGCTATAGTGATAGTGTAGCGCGACCATGGTCACAAAGTCGGCGTATGTCGCGGATCTGGCCGGGCCATGCTGACGTGGCCAGATATTATTGGGCGGCCACGTGTCGTCAAAGGCCAGCTCAACCATGACCCGAACACCACTCCCCCAGTTTTGAAGTCGAGGAATGAAGTGCTCGGCCGACGTGTAGCGCGACAGGGTGCTTTGTTTTTAGACTAAGGAACTCCAAGTTGACTAGTTGAGCATTTTGCCCGCCTCGCATTCCTCTGCACTTGGCGGAACTCGTCACCCACACAATGTGGGTTGTGGCTGAGAAGTTCTTCGATCGTCGGCTACGGAACTTTGAGAATTCAAATTTCGGAATCCGAACACCACTCCCCTAGTTTCGGAGTCGAGGAAAGGAAAGCTCAATCGAGGCATTGTGTGGTCACGAGAAGAGTGCTCGATCGAGGCATTGCGTGGTTCTTTAGTCTAGCCAAGGGCCGACGATTCGAGTTAAGCTTCGAAGTTTGGGCCTCCCTGATGCTCGGTGGTGTTGTGCCGCGGAAGGGCTTTTTGTTCTTCAACTGAGGAACTTGTTCTTGAAATTTCAGAATCCGAACACCACTCCCTCAGTTCCGAAGTCGAAGAGTGGAGTGCCCGGTTAGGGTGCAACGCGACCTCTTTTTTGGTCAAGTCTCATTGTTGGGTGTCTTGAAGAGACCCAAGAGGCCAATTGGACAGGCGCTACGGGTGTCTGTAGTGTTGGTTGGATCGGCGCGGGTGTCTGTAGTGTTGGTTGAACCGGCACTTTAGGGCAGACCGGGGTAATTAATGTCTTTACTGTTGCTTGTTAAGGTCGTCGCATTGGTTCCCGAGGCCTCGCGCGTTCGGTGACAGTCGCATCGATTGGTCTTCTTGAGCTTCGTTAGAGTGGCACGTGATCTTCACCGTCGATCTGGCTTTGATTCACGCTTCTGGGGGTTATAAGAAGGGGTGGAAGGGCATTTCCTCTTCGCCATTTGCGAGAGGGACTTGCTTAGATAGCTCGGCGTGGGGTTGTCAACGTTGCTCGGCTTTCGTTTTGATTCCACGGCTTCAAGTGCCGTAAAATGTCTTCCCCGTCTTCCTGTTCCTCTTCTTCTGGTTCCTCTTCTAGTTCTAGTGGCTTTAACTATGAGTCAGAGGTTGGGGACTTTGAGGCTGCCAAGGTCGAGGAGGCCGAGGTTGGCCCTTCTAGAGTGGAAGTAGAGCTTCCCGCGCGGGCTGGTTGTCGGTTCAAGACCACCCCCTGCGTTTTGACTCCCGGTGACATGGCTCGGATCCGAGCTATGTATGACACCCCCGAGGAGTTCGGGATGAGATGTCCACAAGCTGGCAAG